CAGCTACCTGGCCCGCGAACTATTGCAAAAGGGGCCCGCCGACGCGCAAGGCCAAGCTGAGGAGGAGGAGGAGGGGCAGGACGAGCGGCGTCCGGAGCACGGCGCCGGCAGCTCGGAGGACGCCGTCTTGCGAATTCCAGCTGCTGGTGCCGGCCGCTCGGATGACGCCGTCTTGCGAAATCCAGATGTTCAATCGGACTCGGGTCATTTGGTGTCCAGCATCGTCGGATTGAACGACGATTCAGACGACGGCAATCGCTGGCTGCGAATGTGCCGCGACGTAGAAGACTTGTGTCGTCGCAAGCCTGTGCAGCAATACTACACGGACGCAGAATCCGTCCTTCGCAACCGGGCCCAAAACGATTTGGAGCATGATCGATCGCCCGCCGTGGGCTTGTTGGGGCGCGAGGGAGCTCAAGAGCGGCTCGTGCTGCGCCGTGTTCAAAGGGTGCAATCGCTGGCTAAGGGCGTGGAGCAGGAGCGAAGAGCTCAGGGGCAGATGTTCGAGGTGCGGCCGCAAAAGCTCGTGGTGCCTAGTCGTGACGAGCCGATGAACATGTTCCAGCCGGCGACATGGGCCATGGCGTTTCCGGAGCTTTTCCCTTGGGGCGACGGCGTGCCGTTTGTCAAGCGGGAGACTAGCATGGAGGCGGGCGAGGTATTTCGGTATTTGCTGCTTCGAGAGGAGCTGGTCTATGGCGAGAGCGATGCCCCGCCGCCGCTTCCTCGGTGGAGTTTGTCCGTAGCCTGGCAGAGTTATGATCTAGACTAGGCCAGTACAGTTGGAGTACCATTTTCCTTTCGCTGGCAGACGTTGTTTTCCGAAAGCTCGCGGATTGAGAGAATGGCTCGCACCAGGAGCAGCTCTTGCCCGTCATATACGATGTCAACCGCAGACTCTCTCTCATGCGATCATCGAAAGCATATGTGAAACGGAGTGGTTTCAGTCAAAACTGCGCCTTGATCGCATCGGTGGGCACGGAACATCTGCTCCAGGCTATGGCGTTGCACGGGGAGAAGGCCGACATTCGTGAGTTGTTGCGCTCGTCGGAGGTGGATGTCTCACTGAAGCGGGCGCTTGGCAGTGTGCTGCAGGTCGGCGCGAGTGTCTTGGGCACGGAAGGCCACCGCAGTCAAATTCGACTTCGCGGCCACGCGGCTGGCTGGCACTATGGCACCTCGCACGTCTTCGTGACGCCGAATCTGGCGGATTCTCGTGCTTCTTTGCTGCTGCAGCTGCACATGCAGGGTCTGGATGGGAAGGTGGAAAACTACGACGTGGATTTGCGATGGGACTTGGAGGATCCCGTGCTGCCGTCGTTGGCCGCAATGCGGCGCGTGCTGGCAGCTGATCCCGTGTCGCAGGCCAGGTTTTTCGACCTCATGATGACCTTGTTCTTGGAAGAGGTGTTGGGAACATTGCCAGCCTTTACCCGAGCCAGTTTTCGGGCAGGTAAGGCTCAAGTCTACGAAGATGGTTTCGCGGCGTCGACTTTCCCAGGTTGTTTCGGGGACATTGCCGCCTTCTGCGGACCTCTGGAGACTCAAGGACGAGGTTCGATGCATCCGCACAT